AATTAAAGGTGAGCTTAAATTGTCTCTAAGAATGCTAAATACGGAAGGACCAAGGTGTGTGTGGGGAATGGATTCCCTCCCTCCGCCCCTCAGTGGTCATCTTCTCTTCTGTGAAGTGTCTCTGTGCACACATCGCTATCTCTACTAAACAGTGAAAACAAGTCTTGTCATCTAAGCAAAAGCCTAGTTTCGAGTTAGCTTTTGGCTAAGTAAAGCCAAAATTTTCAAGTTAGACTTGAAAACAACATTTTGTGTGAATAGTATTCATTTTCAGTAACACACTTGCATAGTCTTACCCTTCAAATACAGCACTGAAAAAATAAAGAGTGAGGAACCCCTGCAAATAGCTGAAATGCACTGGTATAGATGTAACTGACAAAAGAACATTGAAGGACATGTACACATTTCTTATATAATAAAGTCAACAAATACCAACTGATAATTCAGATAGCTGTTATCACTGATTAAAGTGCTAAATATTGATTGAATAACCTGGAAGGAGGTTCCTTGGTCCTTGGGAAAGAAACTGCCAGGGAGCAGCAGGCCGTGAAGCATTTGTGAAGCCCTTGGCCTGCCTGCCGATTGCTTCCTAAGAACTGCGGACAGCAGGGTGTTGCTGGGCAAGGATAGCGTGCCAGTTTTCTGATCTTGCAGTGATGCATTTCTGTGTCTCTCTTTTCTTTTTTTCTCTCTTTTTACATAGGTGGCTCACATGACAAAAAGTGAAATCTGTCTTCAGGACACTGCATTTATTGGGCCAGGACTTCTGTTTTTGGACCAGTACTTCAACAGTTTCATTGATGAATATATTGTTCTATGGATAGCATTGGTAAGCATTTTGTTTTATACTTTTCATTTGGAGCATACTTAAAGGAGCAGATTGAGAACTGTCCCTGTCATTCTGCTCTGCCATTTCTGACTTGCTCAGATTTCAGCTGTCGCTGCGGAGGGAGTGCCAGGATACCATGTAAATGTGTATTTTGGGAGCTGACTGGCTCTCTTTCCTTGGGACAGAGATGTGAAAGTAAATTTACAGCTCTCTTGTAATTATGCATTAGTTTAGGTGACTTGTTTAAAGTTATGCTGCGAACTGCAGACTAACCTTTGTTGATCAGACTTTGTAAGTGTTCAGTGCTGGTTGTTTTTTGGGTTTTGGGATTTTGTGCTTTGTTTTGTTTGTTGTGTTCTTTTTTTTTCCCCTTCTAAACTAGACCACTCTATAGCCATATGTTAAAATGCTTGTTAAACTTGTCACTTGGATAGATTCTGATTAAAGTATAGCTGAATTTATAGTAGGGACAATTTAAAAAAAAAATTGTTTGTTTTTAACCTGTTCTGTTTTGTTCTTTTGAAGTTCATATCCTTGTTTGATATGCTGAGATATGCCACTGGTGTATGCCTACAGATTGCTGCTCATCTTCATATACATGTCTTCAGAATTTCATCTCATCAAGCTCCTGAACAGGTTCAAAACCATAATGACTGATTAAACAGGTCAAGGACAAGAGGAGAAGCAGTTAGGGGAATGCTGAATGAAGCAGCCTCTCTTTTTTTGGGATGACAGATTAAGCTTTTGAAGAAAATAGTTTTATGAGAAAGCTCACTCTATCCCAGATATTGCCAGATGTTAGAATTGCTGAATACAAAGCCCTGCAGATCCTGTTATGATCGATACTTCTGAACCAGGCTGTATTTCCCCCTGTGTTCTAGACCTTGCAGCTGTTATTTCATACCATGAATACCACATTTGAAACTTTTGCCATTTCCTGTTAGGTAGCCTTAATTCTGTACTTCTGGTCTGGTGAATGTGGATTGCAAACCACGGTGCTACCAACCAGAATGCAAAGAGAAATTTCACTTTTCCCTAGACCAAGTGACTAATCTTCTAGCGTTAGTTTCTGAAGTCTTCTTGGAACTGCTGTGAAGTGGTAGTCAGAGGTATCAATGAATACAGTACTGCATGATTAAGACTGGTAAAATGAGGCACCCATGAGGTAAAACTACTCGTTAATCTCTGTTCTGGTATTTCTAAAGAAAAAGCTACTGGATCAGTAGGATGAAGGAGGTACAGCTCAGGAAAATTCTCTTCTATTTCAAAATACTCTTCCGAGTGCCTTTAGAATTCATACATCCTCTAGTATCTAAGTACATAACCTACTGTTACTAAATACAGTTGTAGCTTGCATTTTCTTTCAAGGCCAGTTTCTGGTTTTGTGGTCATAATAAGGTTTGCCTCATTATACTCCATCATTATTAAGACTATAGGTAGTTGTGTACTTTGAGGACACTAACTTTACCTACCCTAACTTGTATCTGTGAAACTGCACAAGTGAATGACAAAGTTCACTGATAAACTTAAATGACTGTGACTGTTTGACTGTGACAATGCAACTCACCCGTGTGTAATTCCCTCCTAAGTGTGTTTGCTCTCGCTTTGTTCATCTACCTTATAATCTATCTAATTTGTCTTGTAGCTATCGCTGTACTTTGTCCAAACAAAACTGCACAGAACTAAACCCTAATGTATGGTAAAACTCTCCAAAACAGAAAGCCAGGCCCACTCTCAGGCTTTCTTTAAGAACAGACCCACTGACTAACATAATGTGCCTAGCTGAAGGGCTGCTGTTGTCATTAGAGAAAAGCTGAATGAGAGTAGCTTATGATCTGTATGAGCAAATAATGACTTGCACGCAAACCCTATAAGCTTAAGCTCCTTTAAAGAGGTACTATTTGCATATGATTTTTGTAAAAAGCTGTTGAATGTAACTGTCCATTACCACTTCCAGTTGCTGATATCTAGCTGAGCTGTGAGTTCATGAATTCTTTCCTGAACTGCACAATAGAGAATTGCTATGGTTTGGTTTTTTTTTTTTTTAAATATTACCACTGCAGCTTCCTAGCTGCACATTAATTCAAGAAGACTTCCTGAGGTGTTCAAGGAACTCTAAAAGTGGTGTATCATCTGCTAAATTTGGAGGGAATAAAATACCATCTACACACTCCTGCCTAAGAAGGATATACTGATCCACTTGAGGGATAACTGTAACAGTTACTGCCAGAGGACTAGCACTCTAAGCAACTAGTATCAATTCCAAATGAATCCTACTGCTGTTTGAGGCTGGGACAGACACAGCATCTACATGTGAACTTAGCTTGAACCCAGGCCGTGGGCAAATAGAAGAGAAGGTGGTAAAGACCATTTCTGTTTGTGTGAATACTGTCAACAAATTAACCACCTGATGAAATGACACAGGCAGCTTTTTTAGAGTGAGAAGATTTGGTTCCCAGAATGCTCAAAAATGCGTCATGTAGTAGTAGGTACAAGTAGTTATAAGGATATGATTGAAGTATGTGGATGGTAGGAGACTAATGCAGAAATCGGTCAGAAAACCAGAAACATGAGGCAATACTACCAAAGAACCTAGTATTGAAGGTAGGAGGCAAAACCTGTTAACTGTGTTTCATAGAATCATCTAATTATCCTTAGAGGGCTGAGACTCAGCAGCACAGTTACAAATTAGCACCTCTTACCCACCAGAGGCCCGTATTGCCTGATACACCATTCTAGCAATGTAACTTCTGTGTTTGCTCCTTTCCTGAGTCCCCGCAGACGCAGAACAAACAGAGCTCCAGACCAGCTGCTTGTTCAGCTTCTGTTGCAATCTAATACCTGAAGTTTCTGTAAATTAGCCATCACTAATCTAGCTCCCAGAACTCGAGAACCATCATCAACTGACTTGATTCTGAACTAAAAATGCTAGTAAGCTGAGGAGAAGATCTGTATGGACTGGTTTTGAAATACATTGCTATGAAAACATCACATTTGTGTGGGGGGGGTGTGGATGGTTTTTGTTTTATCTACTATTGTATTAAATCTAAGCATTAAATATGTTAGGAACTACCTAATTTGAAAAAAAAGTGGATATTCAGGCATAATGGTTTTCTGTAAAAACAAACTGCATGCACGCTGAGCCGATTGTTTAATTTATAGTGATTTACTGTAATGAGATACATGAAAGATAAACGCTTTATCCTGAAAACTTAGGCCTCCCTAAATTGCTAGTCATTTGGAATTGCAAAAAGTAATATTCCATCTCAAAGGCTTGTAATAACTAATACTAAATAAATGAGCTAGATTACTTTAGCAGTGGTTCTACAAGAACTACATACCCCAAAATGCATAATGTTTAATTATGCTTACTTGAGCTGATATCATATAAAGCTGTGATAGCCAGCTCATCATTTAACTAAAGAAACTTGCCTTTTCGACAAATTACAGCAGTTCATAAATCTCTTACTAGTACAAAGATATTACAATGCCTAGCCTAACAAAAGAGTTAACAAAATTTACTTTAATTTACCATAATACACCTCGTTAAACAATCTTACATAAGCTATGCCATGCTCTGTGAACTTTTATAACTGCTGATATGTCAGCAGACTAAATATTGAAACTATGAAAATCTTAAAGTCTGCAGCTTGTGAAAAATGCTTGTATTTGTACAATGTACCTAAAGGCCTAAAGTTGTTACGTAAAATCTGGGTAATGCATTTTCATTAGTTCTGCCCATTGTTACAATTTGGCATTATAAAAAGTGAAACAATTTAAACAGTCCAATGCTATTGAAAGTGAGTATTAAGTAGTTAAAGATTAATTGGACAGAGAGTAAGTGGTTTGGGGTCCATACCGCCCCCCCCCACCCCCCGTAAATTTACTAATATACATTCTTAAACATTATCAGACACGAGATTAGAACAATCCATGAAGGCATTTAATAGGAACTTTAAAACATTTAAATCTCAACATCTGTATGGCTAATGCCTATACTTGTATCGTGTTACTTAGGTACAAGTTGTTTCTCCATTGAGCCATCAGAATAACATGGACTGAAGAGACTTGCGAACAGTTGCCATCTCCTGCTGTTGCTGTTACAAGAAAAGGAGATAATACTGAACAAATGCCATATCAATATGATTCCTTTGAGCTAATTAAATGACTGTCAAATGACTTTCTTATAGAATGTTCTATTTTTGTATTTAACTAACTTCTTCAGAGATCTGGTACTTACAGTGTCCATCATAATCTTCTTCTGCAACATAGCCATTTCTTTGCGAAGTTCACTTTGTGCACCAGCTAGCAGATTTTCATTGCTCTTCTCCAGCTCTTCCATGCTCTGAAGTTAAGGATAATTTTAATTCAGAAGTGTGCAATGTCAAAGAGTTAACTTCAAACAAACAAACAAGCAAACCATTATTCAGACTACAATTTAATTTTTACAGCAGCAGTGGTCACTGATAACTGATTAGTTTTGTCACGAACTTGACAGACAAATCATACAGGACTTCCTACTCCTGTCCGCGTTCCTGTTTAAACAATATAAACCCTGTGAAGGAAACGGTCCCTTCCACTCAGCATCTTTGATGTCTCAGCTAGTTATCCTGCATTTCAATAAAGAGAAGGGTTCTACAAGAAAAGATCATACAGACATCTTTCAGAAACGATAGGGGTTCAATATTATTACAACCTTGGAGACCTGAAGTAAGGACTATAAAACCCGTTCAATTTCCTTCTTTTTGCACACTTCTCCCCAAATAAGCTGAGTAAAGCTCACCGGTTATCTTCCCTTTTGTACATACAATTATGCCTAACCCTGTGTATGGGTGTAGTTGCATTTTCCTTGACTCGTGTTTACTTAAGCTTATTTGAGGCTTCATTTCTATCTTTTGATCTTCTTTGAGGGGAAAAATCAAAGTAATACTTGACCTTCTGTTCAGTTTTTCATCTTTGATGAAGACTTTTTTGAAATTTTGGAAGTTATTACTTGTTAATGCTTCTGTAATATCCTCTTGTAAATTTCAACTATCTTAAACTAAGAGTTGCTGTATTTCAGATTTATTTTTCAAAGCTACCGACTTGAAAAAACCCAAACATATCGTAACTAACTGAAATTTCAAAAAACGACCAGTCAGGAAATGACTTGAACAGAAATTAAGATTTGGCAGAAAGGGACCTGGGGGTCCTGGCAGACACCAAGTTGAACATGAGCCAGCAGTGTGCCATTGCCGCAAAGGCGGCTAACGGTCTCCTGGGCTGCATTAGACGCAGAGTTGCCAGCAGGTCAGGGGAGGTGACCCTTCCCTTCTACTCAGCACTGGTGAGGCCACACCTGGAGTGCTGTGTCCAGTTCCAGACTCCTCAGTACAAGGGACACGTGGACATCCTGGATGGAGCCCAACAAAGGACCACCAAGGTGATTAAGGGACAGGAGCATTTCTCTTATGAGGAAAGGCTGAGAGAGCTGGGACTGTTCAGCCTGGAGAAGAGAAGGCTCAAGGGGGGGATCTTATCTCTATACACAAATACCTGAAGGGGGGTGTGTGAGGAAGAGCAAGCCAGGCTCTTGAGGTGCCCAGTCACAGGACAAGAGGTGATGGGCACAAACTGAAAACACAGGAGGTTCCCTCTGAACATCAGGAAACACTTTTTTACTGTGAGGGTGACTGAGCACTGGAACAGGTTGTCCAGAGAGGCTGTGGAGTCTCCATCCTTGGAAATATTCAAAAGCCATCTGGACGTAAGTCCTGGGCAACCGACTGTAGGTAGCCCCGCTGTACCACCTGCTGGCTGGACCAGACGACTGCCAGAGGTCCCTTCCAACCTCAGCCCTTCAGTGATTCTATGGTAGTGTGCCTCTGCATTCATTACAAAACCAATCATTTAGGGTACTTTCATTTTTCTCACAGTTTAGATTTCTAATACCTTACTCAGAAAAATAGTGGGGGAAGGAAATCTGGGAATAATAAAGTGTTTTGTTCTTAGTGTAAAATGACAGGGAAAACCTTTTTTTTTTTTCTCCAAAAGTCAAACTTTTGCATAGTTGTACTCATAATAATTTTTTGTTTGCTGTCTAGTATGGTAGCTACTTTGTTAAAAAACAAAACAAAACACACCACAGTTGATCAGTATGAGTCATGTGTTTAAAATACATTATCTCTGTAAGCACTGTCCCAAAAAATGGTGTTTGTAGGGACTCCCAGCAAATACAAGTGTTACGCATAAAGCAACAGGAAAGTTGAACGGGACTGATTACATAACTATCCAGCCAAGCCTGTTTTCACCATAAATCATTATTTCCATCAGATTCTTCCTGTTGACATTTTAGTGAATGCGTACCTTGAATATCAGGTTACAGAAAGGAAGACTGTTTCTAATTAACGTTGCTTAGGAAGAAATGAAGGGAGTTCTAAGTGGGCAATTTTAAGGGAATTACAATTGATTTTCTTTCAGGGTCATTTTCCTTATATGAAGGAGCAATAGCTAGAAAGGTTAATGACAGAAAAAAAAAAAGGTATCTAATTCTCATTAGGGGAGATGCACCTGCCAGCAGTAATAAAAGCAGTACATTTCAGCCTAAGATGTATTTTTAATAGATTGTCAAGTTTCACTTTTTTAAATACATACCAAAAATCTAAGGGAATAATTAAGACAAAATCCCGATGACTTAACTGACCTATAGGCTTCAAACTGGTACGAAACTGCATTCTCTTTAGAATGTATGCTCTGAGGGTTGTGGTTAAATATTTGAAACAGGCGAGCCAATCAGATCCCTGTGAGAACACACTTAACTAAACCATTTATTAAACAGATGCAATCTGTATGCATGTATAGAGAGAACAAGACATATTCTTAACAAATAAGGGAAAGATACTAACATGAGTATTCATGCAAGGATGTTATTTTCCTTAAATGAACCTCAAATCTCTGTATTTCATAAAGGTTGAATTACAACAGGTTTCTTAAGTGATGTGATAAGGATCAGTTGCCTTCTAAGAAGAAAATTCACTGTACCTTTAAGAATTGCTCATAGAGTTGCTTAATGGTTTTCAGTCTCTGACTTTGAACTATTCTTGCCTGTTGAAAAACTTTTTGTTGCTGACGAAACATATTCTGAAGCAGAAGCAAAAGAAAAAAATAATCGCATTAGTTAACTAAAAGCACTTGGACAGCAACACTGCTGTCATTTGTTAGAATCAGAAATTCTGCCTTCACTGGAAATCTGGGTCATGTAATGTTGATCTCTGCCTGGAGAATTATCCTTGTTCTTATTAATGAAAGAAAGACTGAAGACTGGATTAAGCCCAGAGTCACCTCCTGAGGTCCCTTCCAACCTGAATTATCCCTATGAGATCCTATGAGGACTGGTATCCAACACAGCTCTTGAGGATATCCCAGGGAAATGTGCTGCCTGGGGAATGGCGAAACTTGCAAACGTGTTGGGAGTATAAATACAGCAACATCGTGATTACATTCCATTGTATAGCTCCTATCCCCTTTCAATGACCAAATTCTCATACATTTATTATATGCAGGCACATTTTTAAGCAATGCGTGCTGAAAGACCACTCTTTTCCTTTACTCCTTTGTTCCCTGAACCCAAAGACTATGGATGCACAGAAACAGCACACGTCTTCTCCATAAATGGGGTCTTGGCTTTTCTCAAGCCATAGCTGGCCTAGGGCATCACTTACTGCCATTTATAAACTTGCAATAAAAGTTCATAAATGCACCCCTCTTCACTTTAAAATATGTCCCAAAACTTAAATATTTACAGTTTGAGAGCCACCAAACTTGAATGAACATTTTTAATTGAGGCAAACAATCATATGTTAGTTTAAACTACATAAGGTGTTTTTACATTTCTTGAGCATCTAAACAACAATATTCCCTCCTTGTGAAAATACTGTGAAACTCATGCCATGCTGGAAACCCACCGCTAGTTTTTCTTCCTGTTCCTCTGCTTTCTGCACATCTACATCCCATTGCTGAAATAAAGTCAGGAACTGCTGGGAGAACTCATGGTTGAGCTTCTGCCTATAAATAGACACTAGCCGTAAGTATGACAAATGCTACAAAGAAAGAATTACAAGGAAAGCTAACATTCAACACACACATGGAGTAGAATAAAAGGAGCTGGCATAAAGAAACAGGCTGTTTTGACATCTGGCCCTAACTGCATACTGTATGTTTTGAAAAACTGAACACACTCTCTCTCTGAATGAATGTGGATTATATACATGTAAGGAGACAGCACTTATATAGAAGACTCAGGTTAAAAAAAGAATTACAACAACTTTTCTTCCTAACAGTGCCAGGTTTTCTGAGATTTACTATGTTTTTCTAACCCAATTACAGATCTTGGCTTTAACACAAGGGGTTTATAACGAAAAGGTAATTAGCTCATTCATTAGTTCATTATGCTCTAGTTTCTCTACGTAAACTTAAATTTTGTCAATGCAAGTTTGAAATACATATATATACATAAAACCACCAAGACAGTTACAAGTATTGCTGACTTTTCATTTTTAGCTGTCTCATTTTTCAGTTTGCTCTACTTGTAGTATCAGATCTAGTAATTAAATATGCCTTAAGAGGCAAGAGGAGTGTTATGTAGGGTGAAAATTATTTACAATGTGAAAATGAAAATTACTATTATTATTAAAGATAAAACAAAAGTAAAACCAGCTCTTTAAGGTACCTTGCTCTTGAAATTCCAAATCTCAAAATTCCAAAATGAAGTGGACACAACTGGAGGCAGCGGAAAAGAGGACCTGAGCAGGTATTTAACTAGTAGATAACACTACTTGCTATTTAACTGCAAGAAGATGGATCAACTATCCATGCTGTGACACAAAAGGGAATCTGATTTCACAGGTTTGAAAAACAAGGGTAAATGTTACCTTTGCTCCTGCTGTGTTTTCCAAACATGTTCAATCTTCTGGTTACTGGTTTTGAGTGAGGCTTTTGTATACATTTCTAATCTTTTCCTCTTAGCTAAGAGAGCCTTGTTAATGTCAGCTAAAAATCAAAGAGTATTTAGAAATTAAGCATCCCGAGATACATTGTGCCTTTTATTAAAAATGCTGATGAGTTGTGCTTTGGAGATACAAACAAGGTGTGTTCTAATGGAAAGACACGAATGTGATCTGGGCTCCTGGCTGCTGTGTTTAGCGTCTCTGGCACTGGTGTGAGTGCTGCTTTCCTAAGCACCCCCATACACCCTAACCAACACCTGGCCTCTGGAGTTGCAACTGCTCGTTGCCCAGCCCCACCAGCTACTCTGGCATCTGCTTCGAGTCCCACCTCTCTCAGGGGCCAGACCAAATAGGACCTACCATGATGTGACTCCGCTTTAGCTTCTTTCCTTCTAGGCAGGACGGTCGTGGGCACGGTGTCAGACTGACTCTGAGCAGACGCACGCAGTGAACTGAAACCGTCCAGTGTTTTGAACTCAGGGTAGCTGCAGTGCTGCCATTATGTACACTTAAATTGGTTCCTTATACATTGTCATCGTGTGTCCCCCTGCTGGGTATTATGGTCCAACATGCACTCCTAACGTATCATCAATACAATAGGCATACATATATGCTTGAAACACTAGAACCACTATCCAATCAGTTCACACTGCGTATCTTCAAACATTGTATTTGGACATCTCACGGTCTGTAAATTCTCCATTCAAAGCTAGAGATACCTTGCACAAACGTGACTGAGTACAGACATCTTGCTCTTTTCTCTAGTATCTAATGATGTTTTAGTCACACCATCAAAATCCTAATTAATTTAGCTGCATGACTGCAGTGCTAGCTCAGTTTCCAGACCTTCAGGGAATTTAGTTATGCTGACGCATTTTAATTTTTTTTTTTTCTAGAAAAACCACATGTTCCAGAGTAATATTCAAATTACTTAGATTTTAGAAATAAATTAAAGCCAGTGTGTTATTACTATCACTGAACATACTGAATGAATGAGTGACAAACTATTTTTCATACTTTGGAGAGAATTAGTCCTTTTTTAAAAGTATTCAAGTTAATATAAGTTAGTATGTTCGTTTAATTTACATTTGGTGATTTAACAAACAAGTCAGAGCTTAAGGTTAATACAGCAATTTCTGTTCCTTCTCACTGTAGATTTCAGGAAACATCTGTCAAACCTCTCTCTCTAATTTGCTGAGGCATCTGCCCCTGCTAATGCCAAACCTACTGTTTTTGAGCAGACAGCATCCTCTCTCTGATCAATTAATTTTCCTTCCGTCCATCCTATTTTTGAGTCTTCAATAACAAGCAATCCTAGCTTTTTAACATAGAAATCCTCCTCCTGTCTGATTGCTAGATCTACAATAGCATTCTAATATGTACCTTAACAGCAAAAAGTCTTAATTCCTTGAAATCCTCTTTCACCTTAAGATTTACATGCAAGTAATGACTGTGTTTTCTTATACATACAATGAAAGTATTAATCAGCTATTGAGTAGGTAATACTGCCATTAAGATGGTTTCCCTTCCTTCCACAGCTTTTTGATGCTTTGTTACACTGTGATGTTTATTATACATTCTTTACAAGTGAAATGTGTTTCTTCTCTAACCCGTCAGCTACCTAGAATTCAGCTGGAAATTTAACTGTAAGTAAAGCCATCTGAGGATCTCATTATGACTAAATTAAATCCAACTAGGTGACATGCATAAATCTCTCATCACTAGATGACTGGCATTACTTACCCTCATCCTTTAGCTCTTCTAGAAACTTGTACTCTTCTTCCTGACTGCTGAAATTCTCTTTTCTACTGATTCCCTGTTCTCTAGATTTCTGAAGGTGCGGAGTACAGACTACTCTCTAGCTCATTCTGTACTGCAACTACAATCTACTTTCAAAATTCCTTGTCTAGAATTAGAACTATTTGTTCTATTTAGCTGCTTATATTAACATTTACACGCCCCTAATTTCTCACTCAAGTCTTGCAATCTTCAGTCTCTTCCACGTCATTGCAACAAAAAACGAGTAAGAACAACAGCTAACTCGTATTGTCCCTTTTCTCTACAATATAATCGTGACCTCTTAAACTTCATCTTAAAATTGGAATTGATTATCAAAAGCACTCACGCATCTTTCCCTTTTTCCTTTGTAATTACCTACACTAATACTTACATCTCACTTCGTATAGAATCATAGAATCGTTAAGGTTGGAAAAGACCCTTAAGATCATCAAGTCCAACTGTTAACCTAGCACTGCCAAGCCCACCACTAAACCACGTCCCTAAGCACCACATCTACCCGTCTTTTAAATACCTCCAGGGATGGAGACTCAACCACTTCCCTGGGCAGCGTGTGCCAGTGCCTGACTACCCTTTCGGTGAAGAAGTTTTTCCTAATATCCAACGTAAACTTCCCCTGGCGCAACTTGAGGCCATTTCCTCTCATCCTATCGCTTGTTACTAGGGAGAAGAGACCAACACCCACCTCGCTACAGCCTCCTTTCAGGTAGTTGTAGAGAGCAACAAGGTCTCCCCTCAGCCTCCTCTTCTCCAAACTAAACAACCCCAGCTCCCTCAGCCGCTCCTCATAAG